AACATGCACTATAGTTTGAGATAAAAGTACATTTGGCAGTGCGATTCCATAATTAAAAAAAACAGACGTATTCTAATTTCCAGCGGCTTCAACATAGCCCAAAACACCGTATTTATTTAAGCTCAATGCCATACATACCACTTGAAAGTGGACTGCATAGCAAATGAAATCGTTAGTAGGGTTGGGGACAAGGCAATCAAGGGAAATCAGAACCTATGGGTCCAAACTATGGAAAGATTTTCGTAATCACTATGGCCTTTGTTTGGGCTTCGGTGGTACCACGGCAATAGGCACATTGGAATTGTGGACAACGTAGTCGCTAACGCTACCCAGCAACGTTCTCCTGATGGCTCCGAAACCGCGAGAGCCAATCACAATTAGCTGTGCTTTGTGCTCAGCTGCAGACCGGACAATAGCCGAACCGGGCTTAGTGTCAATGTGCAAGAAGGCCTTGTACGATAGATTTGCCGACTTCGCCAGTTTCATATACTTTTGGCCAAGCTTCTTGCCTAACATTATGCTCTCCTCCATTACACGCGTCATATCGTCAACCATAATGGGAGGCGACTCCATAGCCAATCCAATGGCTGGAGAAGAATACACAGGTTCAATGACATGAATAAAATAAACGAGATCGTTGTCATTTTTCAAATTTTCCAAGTACCAATTGAACGCCATCTCACAGTTTGGACTGGCATCTATTGGAATTAGCACGTTTCGCTGTGGAATCACATTTGCAGAACCATCGACGGACATATCGCCAGTACTTGTGCGATCAAGTTTCAACCTGACAACTATGATGGCCTGTTTTCTATTCTTGTCCCCTCCTGGCATAAGAATAGCTGAGCGCCTAAATGTGAGGCTTTTCATTGGTCAGGAGATGGTCACTTAAGCCAATCCGCTTTAGCCCATAGCACAAGCCAGACCCTTAAGTTCCCTATGGGGAACAAGCATTCGGGTCCTTTGTCGGCCTTGCGACGTTGAAGGTAAAAAGGGTAATTGATTTTTCGCTTTACGCTTTTTTTTCAGAGCCAATAGCACCAGTAGTGATTTTTCCTAATGACTCATTCGTCCACACTTCCTGTGGATTAGCCACAATAAAGAGACAGGTTACATAAATAGGCGAAGTCGACCGAGATGGTAATGAATTTTGAATCTAGGAGGACGGAAAGTGGTTAAATTGCGTGGTTTGGGCAAAGCTGCGGAGCACTGTAGCTTTTAACAGGTCGTTAAAGAATAAAGGTTGATTCCTTTGTACAGACATTGTTAATTTTCTACTTCAATTTATGTTGAGGTTTGGACGGATCTGTTTGGAAAATGTTTGCTTGACATTGCAGTTACACAAATATGTGGAAGTCGAGGAGATGCTGTCTCTCTAACGCTTAGGTTTAATGTCAAGTCAAACCCGTTACCTTGACTTCCACGGGAGCCAAACGCGAACCAAATCCTGTGCCTTATTGCGCCGCAGGAAGTACACTAAAATACTTGATTTAACATCTTACCACCGACACGTCATCCAGGTAGATTGACAACAATTGGGTGCAACCGTTGTGAATTAGTTTGTTCAACAATGTGCAAAGCTAGGTGAAAGCTCAACAATAAATTTGCATAATTGGATATTTTACAGCTTCCCTTATAGTTGTTAGCATATTCGTGCATATTTCTTTCAGCGTAAATGAAGACGCAAACAATGAAGATGGTCTAATAAAACCCTTATTTTAAAGGACATCTAATAATAAGGAATGGTTTCATCAAGGTGCAATGTTTTTGGCTGAGTTGAAGAATATGCAGGGAAGAGTTGTAAATAGTATGGCAAGTTTCGCAGATAGCCTCACTTGTTTAGCTACTTCATCTGTGCTATCATACTGATAGTTTTGGGGATAAATTTTTTGACACATGCCTCATGGCTTAAAACGCGTTGCTTGTTTGAGTAGCGTTCGACTTTTGTGGTCAATCTTTCAATTGTTCCATTATCACGCTTTGTGGGTTATGAAATCGGTCATCAGTGCGCGACGTTAGGTTTCTTCTTAGAGTTTGTCAACAAGTCTGTGATTGCTTTTTAGCCCGATATTGAAGTCTCGAGCAATTTTTGACACTTCAGGGCAGCTGCACTAATAAACAGAATTCTCGCGGGTCAACTACCCTCAACGGTCTTGCGATTTGCAGGCTCTAATCCAGCGCTTACTTTCCCTTAAATTCCAAGTACATATCGCCTTTCCCAAGTAGACGCAGTTATCAATCACTTAAGAAGGCCTTTGTATTGTTCAAATTGGGTAATTCTCTGAGAGACTTAATTATGCAGACAACGCTGTTATTATTTTGCTTCCCCAAGCTTATTACTCATTGGTTTATTAACCAAATTTAGACCGCTCCAAATAGGTCAGTTGGAACATTGGAGAGGTGTAGGGGACAAGGGAGTGTCTTGGCGACGCGTGGCGGTCATGTTTCGTGATCAAACCTCATTTGCAGCATTAAGAAATATGAAGGAAGACAAGGCTTCTTGCATTACAATTATTCTGAAAGGAGAGATTGTTGGCCATTGGGTGAACTTCGTTTGGTCAGCCTTTTCCCATATGTCCCTTTAAAAATTCAAGCATCCTAGACAGTTTTGATCCATCGTCTTGCTCTTGCCACGAATACTTTCCTCATGAGAGCCGCTCAAGTGTGCACACAACACCGCTGTCAAAGTTGTAAAGGTTCTTAATTCAGTCTGTTGGCTACAATTATGAAAGGAGGGCTAGCTTTCAAGCATACTATAAGCATGTGTTCCATTTGTACAGGTTCTTCACTCTCAGTCCCTTAATATTACTAGGAATTGGCCATTCTTCACAGCATTTGGAAAAGAACTACCAATTGTGAGGCAGCAATTTCTTTTTAAGTTCTAAATGCAGTAGTACAAGTATAAAAATGGCATTCACAATAAAAAAAGGGAAAATCACTGCTGCACAGAAGTCTAGAGTGTAACTCAAGAGCTTTCGTACCACCTTGGAATCACTTGGCCCAGCATGTTGTGGATTAGCCGAAGGCAGGCCATTTGTAGCCATCGAGTACAAGTTAAAACGGAAGTAAACACCAATGCACAGCTTCTTAAAAGCCACTTCCACCTTTTAGCAATGAACACTTTAAAAGTTTTCTTAATGGCACATGTCGAAGACACGCCAAGCTAGAGGAACAAAAAAGCAATGTCCATGCAACAAGAAACTAAGAAAGCAGGACATTTGAAATAGATTTTTGAGCATAATGACGCTTAAGTACGGCTCAGACAAATTTTCCGCTATGGTGTGGAAGGCCCCAAGCTCCCAAGTATAGTCTTTTCTACCGCCTTCATCAACTTAAAAAAGGTTAGTAATAATTAACCCTTAAGGAGCATTGAGTTTCAGTGGAAATGGCTTTAAGCGTACTTCATCCGATTTTTGTTAGTTGACCTTTCCATACTCATGGAGACGGCAAAATTTGTAATGTCACAAGTCCAAGATACCGCTTATTTGCATAACCTTTGTCAATCAGATTCCGA